CCCCAAAACCCCAAAACCCCAAAACCCCAAAACCCCAAAACCCCGTAAAGAGATTCAGTCGCTAAGGGGCTTCATTATAATAATTTATTTGTGGAAATTATATACTTAATTATAACAATATTTAAACATACTTCCTATTAAATAAAACATGGAAAAATTCAACTATCACAATTCAGAATCGAATTGTAATTCAGATACAGAATCCGCTGCAGGAGAAAACGACTTATTGTATGAGTTCATTTTTGGCAAGAAAAATAAGGCTGATTAAGAGAACGACTATTAGGGTCAGGCTGGTTCATACATGATGAGCAAAACTACTCTTAAACACACAAAAAATACCTTTAAAAACGGTAGATCGAATGGAAAACTTAAAAAGACTCTGCAGGGGGTCAAGAGAGATACTGAATCCCCATATAGAAAGGTCCGAGTGACGACCGATCTAAGGTCGGACTCAAAACTCAGTAAGAACTCAAAATCAACAATTCTCAGCGATCCTTATCTATTAAATAGGAAATGGAGGGGGCAGAAGAGGCATCAAAGGCGGGGCAAGTACCTCAGTCCTAGGCATTCTTGATTGGGATATATCTTCAGCTGCTAAACCTCATATCCCCTCAAATAGCCTAGAAACTTCCTTATAAAATGGCTCAATTACTAATATCATATAAGGCGGGAAAACCTTAAACAGTAAGTCAATGGTCACTTGGGTGAATCCAGATTTTCTTATTCTTGAGAATTTGAAATTTATTCTTATTTTATTAGTGAGATAGGATTTCTTTGGATCAAGAAATCGCAATAGATTACTTCGAAAAAGGGCCAGATTTATCTAGGGCAGGCGAAACCCTGTCCCCAGACCCTAGAAATCGACTCAGCCCCGCGTGTTTACATGCCATCTTGAAATGTGCGGGAAAGTATTTAATGACAGAGCCTCTTTGAAAAAGCATCTCACAGTACATGGCGACAAATTGGTAAAATAAGAAAAAAGTTCTCATAAACTGTATAGTTTTAGTGTCCACATGATGGCTGTGGTAAGAAATTTCTTGATAATGCAAAGCTTAAGAGACACATGCTAGTCCATACAGTAATCATTTTCAAATAAAACTCTCTTAATCTTTCAATAGGGGGAGAAGCCTTATCATTGTGAACTATGTGGCAAGAAGTTTTCGCTAGACTTCAATTTGAAGACTCATCTACGGATTCATACTGGTGAAAAGCCTTTCTCTTGCAACTAGAAGGGGTGCCACAAACGGTTCAACTAAAAATCCAACCTGCATGCTCACATGTTGACTCATCACATGCAAGATATGAATGGAGAGTCAATTATGATGCAATCAGGTTCAAACTCAATACATGGCCACTCTAAATATCTGTCCAAAAGAATACCAGGGGACATTGACGATACTTTCATCAGTAACGATAAGTAAAAGCAGTCCAAGCTCGAAAAGATCGAAATGGAGTTTAATCGAATTATGGAGAAAAATAATGGCCAGATCTTCATTGTAAAGCACGAGAAAAACAACTTAAATCGAGATGGCGCTAAGTCTGATCAATTCAGCCAAGAAGAATGGTCTTGCAATGAGTAGGCACTTGAGAAAGCATACCATCGCTCTTATAACATTAGGTAAAGGCCTGTCTTCAGAATTAAGTTCAGGCCGAGAAAAGTTTGCCAACTTCATCAGGAACTCGCCAATTGCGAGGCGCAAGAGTAGGATTAGCCTCTGAACAAGAGGCAAGAAAAGGATTTTGACAAAGCCATCAAGCAGCTGAACAAGTATCTTAGGATCCATGACGAAGCGTACTCTGAGGAAAATCTTGATAGCAACAAGTCTGGTGTCATCATCTAATAGGATAGCTAGTTTCATATTGAGCAGCAGTAAGTGCTTGATAACTTAAATAGCCGAAGTCGTGCATCAGAGAAGGATCAAGAAAAAAGTCCAGAAGGCATCAAGATCCAAGAGAACTTCTCAGCTGCAGACAATGAGTTATAGGATCAATAATTGTATCAATAGGTTGAAAGTGAGAGTAATACTAACTGATTTATGAAGGGATAAATGATTAAGCAGGTTGCATTCACATTTAATATATTGATAATTAATTGAAATCAAGCCTTTAATTGAATTATTTATTAATCGCACTTTTAATTTAATGGAGTTCTAGATGTAAAATAACAGCAATGATACTAAAATTACTATCACTGAGGCAATCAAGTAACTTAAGCAAAAGAATCCATATCCAAGATAGCTTCTAACAAAACCGAATTAGCTACTTTAAACACCTTAGTAAAGTTATACTTCAAAGTGAAACGACCCTGACCGTACATAAAATCAAGAAACTCTTCATGAGGTTCAAAAGTAGCCCATATAAGGAAGAAATCAGGAGGAAAGGAGTTATGAAGCTTATCAGAAATACTTAGAAAAAAGTAATCGAGGTCCAAATTATAAGAACATGAAAAAGCTCCAATCTGAGTTAATAAAGAAGATGCAGAATCATAAGACTAGATAACGCTCATATGCTTCTTAAAACGAAATGGGCTTGTCAAAGTCAGACTAGGTCTAAAATAAAATAGATTTCTTGCAAAAAACCTAGTTTTTCCTTAATGATGACAATAACAATGTGCAAAATCTTGAAAGGGCTTAAACAGCTATGGCATAAAGTAAGACCTTATTAAAGAGCCAGTACGAAGATACCTTAGATTAAGGCAAGCCAATCCAAACCTTGAAGTAAGAGGACACAGATTATTAGGAGAGCATAAGAGTTAGCAATCAGTTTAAAGAGGAAAATGACCTCACACTGAACTATTTCATGACTCAAGCAGCTATGAAAAATAGAAGGGAAACTGAGAGATCCTTAGATGTATTGAAGAACCAATTCAGTAAGAAAAGAGATATGATTCAGATGAAAAACTTATCAGCGCTTAGAACATCAGCTTAATCTGGATATTAGCAGATCAATTTAGATGGGGCTAGTTCATTGATTAATAAGACATTGCCGGAAAGTAAATTCCTGAGTAATTTTCAAACTTCAAGAGTAAATAACAGTTTTATCAACACTCACAACTCTAAAATGTTTGTAGATATTAAAACTTCATAGAACGGGTCTACTCTAGATAAATTTGCCAAGCTAATTAAACATAATTCTAACAATGAGAGAAATTCTAATACCTCACGATACTAGAGTCATTAATAAAATATAGCAAAGAATAGCCCCTTCAAGAACCCTTTCATCCATGGTAAATTCCATAATAACAGTAGTTTTGATTAAAGCATAATTACTAACGGTTAGAGAACAAATGCTTAGAAGCATGAAATAGATTATTCAAGTACTTAGCATAGCGCTATGCATTGCAGATATTAAGATAATCTGAATAAATCGATGAACGAATACTAGTAAAGTCAGACATTACAAAGGATTTAAGACCTAGGCGACGAAATAAAGCATGTGAAATTCGTAAGATTTAAAAAAGCATATAATCTTTCTAATAGGCTCTGAATAATATGGAATTAAAGAACAAGATTGCTGATAAAGTCGCATTGAATTTCAATATGGGCAGGAATAAAATATAATTTATGATTAGGGACAGGATAAACAGCAAAAAATATAAATAAGCTAAATATTATGAATCAGGCTAGAATGTAAATTAGATAGAATAAATTTTGTAGGGAATATTTCCAAATGAATTGATGGATTTCGACGACTTCAAAAATTTCTGTGATAAGACCTATATTGAAATCAAATAGAGAGAAAAGAAAAATGCATTTGAAGTTGCAAGTATTGAGTAATTATCTACTATGCAATTCATATTAGAATAATATTTTTATAGCATAAAAAGTGAAAGGGAAAAAGAGATTAAGATATTGATTGACTACATCCTATCTTTAGATACTTTTAAAACAATATCTCACCAGATTCTAAGAGAATGTGCATATAGAGTGCGTTCTCTATCATTTAAAGCTAATTAGACAATAATCTCTAAGGGCTAGAAACATTAAGAGATATACATCATATTCTCAGGCTGTGTCTTAAAAACAAAAAAGAATAAATCCAAATACTAAAATGATGATAGTGATGAATCAGATGAAGAACTTTATGATAGAGACATCATAGCCTTTGACTCACTTCAGTCGGAGTCTAGATCAATATCATAATATAACTTCATCTGCTAGACAGAGGTTTAATGCTTAGTCTTGCACTTTTTGGACTACAAGTAAATTAGATAGAAATTTTACAAGCAAGAGACACTGCTTTTAAGTTAATTCTTTAAGCAGTACAGTGCTTGCACCAATTGGAGTCAAAATAAGCTAGACATCTTCTGCACCTATTTATAGATGGAATTTTGCAATAAAGACTAGCTAGTTGCTCGAGAAGGCCAACTAATTGACTCAGTTATATTTGTAAAGAGTGGGAGATTGCGGCTTGAAAAGGAAATTACTATTGATCACACCAATTATTGGCCAATCGGCACTTAAAACTGGGAAGTTAATACCACTAAAAGTAGAATGATGAGGACTATCTAGATTGTTACTGAGAATCAATATATAGGAGCTCGAGAAATGGAGGATAGATTAAGGTACCCAGGCTATCTCTACGCTGATGAAAATAACACGAATCTACTAATACTGCCTAAAGAGCAATTTTATGTTTGTAAGTTATTACAGAGATCCTTAAATGATCTTAATTATTTAGTGTTCTCTCCAAAGGAGATTAAAGAGATGGTAGATTAGGCTCCAGTAACATTTCCAGACGAAAGAGAAGTCAAAGTAAAACTGTTTGCCAATGAAAAATTCAAAGCAATGAGGAACGTAGCGTTGATGGATGCCACTAATACCAATCATATTCCAGAATGCTATAGAGATTTTTATATGGAATCATAAACTAAAAAGCTTATCTCCTGGGCACATCTGTTTGAAAACAAGCATCATAAGAAAAAGTCTATCTCTCCAAGTGCTCGTTAAAGTGTTATAAAAGATTAAACCAAGGCGAACAGGGCTTCAATACTAAATGACCTTACTCTTAATAAGTAATAAAGTCAGACCTAAAGAAGTGTAACGAGACTAAGTAAATTTAAACTAACAAAAATAGATTAAGATTCAAGGCTCCAGGCAACATCATAAATTAAAAATAAGTATAGAACTTAGAAGTAGGATTCAAAATTGGAAATTAAGAGTCCCTTATCTCCTCCATTAAAAATATAAAACCAGGCTTCATTCCACACTGAGAGGTCTCATAGCTAGAATAGCATTCATAAATCAACTAGAAAAACTTTGGAATCTTTAAGTCCTGTGAGAAAAGCGCCTGTCATTGAAATCAAGGTAAATAAATATTAGATTATTGCTTTTTAGAGGGAAAAAATAAATCAAGATACATATAAGAATGCAATGAAAAGCAAAGACGACATGATCAATGAAATAGCTACACTGGTCATTGAAAAAATTGTAAAGCAAAATTGATTATTAAGAAAATTTGATGTAAACATCCTAAATGTGAATCACGGGGTTTTGGGGTTTTGGGGTTTTGGGG